TGACTTTTGGCTGAGAAATGTTATTTCTTGTGGAAATCTACACATCTGCTGCATCTGAGCTTGGCAGAAGATGTTAAAGCCATCCTCACAGAACTTCGCAAAGAGGTCTGCCTGCTCTTCTTAACAAATGCTGACAGACAGGTGCAGTGAGAAGAGATCAAGGCTTGTGCCTGTCAGTCCTACTTTGATGCTATTGTGGTAGGCAGAGAGCAGAAAGAGGAGAAACCAGCCACTTCCAAATTTTATCACTGTTGTGATCTCCTTGGAGTACAGCCTGGGGACTGTGTGATGGTTGGTGACATATTAGAAACTGATATACAAGAAGGTCTCAATGCAAGACTGAAAGCTACAGTCTGGATAAACAAAAGTGGAATAATGCCACTGACATCCCCTATTCCACCTTATATAGTTTCTTTTGTGTTACAACTACCTGCTCTCTTACAGAATATTCATTGCAAAGTCAATTTGTCTGTGTAAAATACATGAGAGGCACAATTTCAAATTTTAGAGTCTATTTCCAGGGTTGAAACTAAGAAAACTTAAGCCATTTTATATATTGTGGTCCAGGTTCTGGAAATAATTTGATTTAGGATTTAATAGCAAATTTGTGAGAAACTTCGCAACCTCATTTCTCTTGGTGACCAACCATGGACTTGTATTTATATCTGAAAATACAGATTATGTTAATACAAGTTAGTGTTCTAGTCCAAAACACTAGAGGAGTACATTGTTTTTTAGACAGCAACTTAAGATTTTAAAAAATTGTATTTTTAATCTTTTAGCATTTTGACTTCATGTTACAAAGCAGAATAGCTTACATTTGGATATATAACTACAGGTTGTATGGCTTATTAAAAACAAATACTTTTTAAAAATAGCTATTATAAAATTTTATAGTAGAGATTTATCAGAGAAAGTGAGTGTAGTTAATATGAAATGAATACTAAATCATGCAATCCATGCAATTTTTTTTTTTTTTTGCGGAACCAGGGATTGAACTCAGACCCTTGCGCTTGCTAAGGAAGCACTTATTCCACAGAGCCATCCCCCTGAATTAAAATTATTAATTCTAGTCTGAATTCTACATTTGGGATAGATACATTTTAATTTGGATCTAACTATATTACAATGAGAGATTTATGGCAAAGTTTATACCTATTTTTCAATGCAAAGTTCTATTGTTTATTCTTTATTATCTGAAAAATAAATTCTTGCAAATTTCTTCTTTTGGTTGGTAACATTTTATGTTCTGTGTTCCACACTCCAGATACTTAGAAGGAATGCCTTCTTGAATTACTTCAAGGAGTAAAATCTCCTTTGTGTAGCAGGATTGGGGTGTCAGTACAACCACTGTCAAAAATAAGATCTATCTGTGGTATAGTTCTATTAAAGCAGTTTGTAGACCAAAAAAATTCTGATGTCATTGAATCTTATATTAGGAAATAGTAACTTGTAATAATTAAACAGATATTTTAGAAGAGCTAAGCTCTTGCCTAAGTAAGTGAAGCACCTTAGAATCCAAGAGCCCATTTGTGTGTGGATCCTAATTTCCTTTCAGCCCTACTCTGAATATCCCTGGGTGTACAGACTCACAACCACTGGAGACAACTCTGGATGTGACTGGGGATCAGATTTTTCAATATACAGTGACAACTTTTTCTTAATTTTCTATCTCCCAAATTTCTAGAAATCATAGTAATTAATATTTATATTCTATATGTTCTTCTCTCTCAACTTTGATTTCCTTCTTAATTTATTTTTCATTTCCTTGGACATATTTTCATTTATAATTAATTGCACATTTTCCACAAATCACATCAAGGCTGTGTAGAGTGAAGTAGAGCATAAATAGAAATGTATACATGTGAAAGCTAGTTGAGCTTCAGAGGGCAGCTTGCACTTAAGAAGCACCCGAGATATCCTCTACAAATTATGTTCAACTGGACTGACCTCATGTGTTTCTCTAGCCTCCAAAAACCAAGGTGGATAAGAATGTTGGTCATAATAGCGGTATTTGTTTTTACAGCTTTATCTGTAAAAGGGAGGGACACCAGTGAATCATACTGCTGAAGGCAGAACCTCGGTGCCAGACTATTTACTTGAAAATAGAAGATGCTGTTTTTTGCTACATAGTGAACCAGAGGACATCATTGAGAAAAAGTGCTTGTTTACGGAGGTACAAACCAGGAGAAAGACAGGATGAGCACTGCTGGAAAAGTAAGCAGAATATTTCTGTACACTCTGTCATGATCTAATAGCATGGGTTGCTTTTTGAAGGCAGTAAAGTAGCTAAATAGTTGGGGATACTTTGAGCCAAAT